CTCCCCCCCCTCTCTCTCTCTCTCTTTCACGCACATACACTCACACCTACACACACACACACACACACACACAAACACACACACACACACACACACGCATACACACACACAAATACACACGCACACACACAAACGCACACACATTCACACACACACAAACATACTGTGACTCCCTCTGGCTCTTACAACCGCCCCCCGTTCTTCGTGTGAACTGATCTGTACATGGGATTATTTATAAAGACATACTCTCACTGTTAGCTTTTCTCCGCCTTTCTTTGTTTTCTCTCCTCGCCCCGTCCAGTCAATGTTTTTACTCTTGTCCCTTTGTGGACTTTTCGGAGAAAGTCAATTTGAGACACTCACCTCATGGGAGGTTGGCGGGTGCTCTGGTGTGGTTTGCTACTTCTTTCCTATCAAACATCTATCGTCTTTATCTCTCCTCCGTCTATTTTGTGTTTGCTACTCTCTTGTAACACCACTAATCTTCAGCACTTGTATGGCCTTATTATGTTGCAAGTTCCGTAAAACTCTTACTAAAACTAAATTAAAACTTAACTAAAGACACTCACCTCCGACCCACAAAGTAGTGGAGACTTCGGAAATTGGCGTAGCAGATCAAGCCAGTTCTGAATAGAGGGCTGGAGTTTACTCCAACATATTATTATTTTTATTTATTTTCACTTCTGATTTTAGACGAATGGATGGATGGTGGGTGCACTCTGACGTGGTTTGCTCTTTCTTTCCTTTCAAACTTTAGTTTTCCTTATCTCTCCTCCTTCTTTTAAGTGTATGTTACTCTCTAGTACCACATCTTATTTTGGGCACTTCTATGGCAAATTTGTGTTGCAAGTGCCACAAAACAAGTAAAACCAAACTGCACCAAAAGCTCTACCTGGTCGTTAAAGTTCGGGGGTAACAAATCCTGACTATCTCCTGATCCCCTCTTTCTATTTGCGTTCCCTCAGCTTTTATGCGCCTGGGTGGAGAGCACGACTGGTTGATCCTTCTTTTTTTCTTTTGTTCCCATCTGCTTTTCTTCCTTTTTTTCCAGCACCAAATGGCCGTCACTCTGTCGATGTGCTTCTCTTCACTTTAACTGAAACAAATTAATTACCGTTTTGTGATAGTCTTTAAAATCACCAAAACATTCTGTTGTCACTCTGCAATGGAAACTTAGCAGTGTCAGTGATGTAACGGCTAGGCGCTTCGCTGTTGCATCCTAGAAAAGACCCGAGTTCGATTCCCGAGTGGGAAGAATTTTTAATCGGTTGGGATGTTGCATTTTTCTTCGCCTGGGTTGGCCCTGGCAGGCAGAGTCAAACCCCATATGGATGGGGGTATTAAGCATTAACATAAAAAGCCCTCTAGCCGATGGTTGGGGGATGAGATAAGCGACTCCTGGCTTTCTCCTGATCTTCTCTTTCTATTTATTTTCCCCAACCTTTTTGTTATAATCACCATTCACCGCAAAAATCTCTTTGTCGACCATATAAAGGTACAGGTTAGAGGGGATGTCTTTGTATCTTAGAAACCTGTATGTACACGACGCACTGGTCACCCCTGACCCCCAGTTTGACGCGGAAAACTCGATTAACGAGGCTCAACGTGTCAACAGACGGCGGCCCCTGGTATAGGTCGAGTACCCCAATACACATAGCATGACCAGCGGCCACTTGGAATATCGGCGGAGCCTTTTGTACGGAGGCCGGGGGGGGGGACTGACCCTCCCGTTAGACTCCCGTTCCAGAAGAGCAAATAAATGTTTAGGTGACCGCCTCAGTCGTAAACGTTTGCCAATAAGGGAGTTTGCACGTACCATGCAGGTTACTTGCCACTAATACCTGTTTATTTATTACGATTAATTTCGTCTTGTTGACTCAAAGTGTACACTATAAATTGCTTTGAACTAACGGACTCCCGCTCTGTGCTGCAAATATTACCTTTGGCTTTGCTCTCTGTTGGCATTTTCAGAAAGGCGTTGTCTCAGAAGTGCTGGGATTATGGTTATTTCGAAAGAGGACTGAATGCAGCATCATGAAGTATCTTTTACCCGTTCAGAAAAAAGCTATCTAATTGCTTATTATACCCTGTCAATTGACGCAAAATGAGTACGATCCACAATGATATATTGGCGCGTAACTGTTAAGTTTCGTCCTGATCTCTCCTCCTTCTTTTTTACGTTTGTTACTCTCTTGTAGCATCTCTAATCTTCGGCACGTATATTACCTAATTGTGTTGCAGGTGCTGTAAAACTCTTACTAAAACTAAACTAAGATTTATTTAGCCATGATTTTAGTGTCGTGTGCTCCGGGTACTTGTCAATATACTGCCTACCTAGTACGACTGGCGAGATATAGAGTTGCCACAGACCGGACCGCCGAGTCTCCAGAAGTGGTCACATAATTGATGTTTTGATTGCCCCGTTCTTCGCAGAGTTATGTATGTGGAGACGTGCTGTGGTTAGGGACGGAACTGTTTGGATAATGCATTCCTCAGTGCGGTACTTGTCAGTTCGGTTCCCAGGTGAAGCACACTCTATTTTTCCTGAGCACTAACGCAGGTCGTGCTATGTCCATTGTATGTTCATTTCAGTGAGGTGACACTAACGGTTTGTGAAAGTGTTTTCAGTTTGATTTTCTGCTTCTTTTTCGACAGGGCATGAGATTGTGTTGGTGTGATTTATTTTTAAATTGGGTTGTTTTTTTTTTTTTGGGGGGGGGCAAACCATAGATCTGCAAATCTGTGAGATGATTTTTTCCTAAACGTCCTAGAATATTTTTAATGAATGGGGGGGGGGTGTTGGTATTTGTTATCTGTTGTTTCGTGGGTTTTTAAAAAACTTTTCCATGGTACTTGCTGCTTTTCGATGTTGGTGCTATTTGGAAAAGGGTGGGATCTATGAGCGGGATTTTTTGTTTTTGTTTTATTCATTTGCTGTTGTTTTGCTTGTTTCTTATTTTGACGATATTAGCATTCTTTTATTATTCGGTAGCTTTTGTTATTCATTTGGGTTTTTTAAAATTTGTCACCCCTCCACCTTCTCAGTTTGCCTC